GCCATCAATGTTTACTTACATTTACGAGTCATTAAATCATGTTTAATTTGGACTTCTCTGTGCATGCTCTTTGAGGTGGTGACCATAGACCTCCATTACATGACTGACAGACAGATATCAAAATTGAAAATACTGTGGAAACAAAGACACCTACATCTTGGATACCCTTGAGGTAAGATAAAACATACCAAAAATGTATATCAAAGTGAACTATCCCTGTAATGTTTCATGTCATGGTAATGACCATGTCATATCAGTCTTAAATGTTATCTGATAAGTGTGTTTCCCTCCCTGTTTTCACAGCCTTTTGCAGCATCCCCAGATGGGCAGGCAGAGAAAAAAACGTCCAAAATGTGCATTGTGGACTCGTTTTCTCATTAGTTTTAAGAGAAAATAAAAATATATATTTAAAAAAAAAAGTGTTTTGTTTTTCTTTGCAGAAGTCTGAAAGAGGACATTTATCCAAGTTACAATATTTAATTGTAATATTTACAATATGCTGTCCTATGAAATTACAGAAAATACCTAAAATTACAGGAAATCCCTGGCTACTGAGTTGCCGTAAATATAAAATTTTGCTGTAAAATTTACAGTATTCTATCCTGTAAAATTACAGTATCTTGTTGTAGTTATTTTACAATAGCAGTCCTGTATACTGTTTACAGTAAATTTACAGCAACTATTAGCCAGGAATTTCCTGTAAAATTACAAGAAATTTCTAAGGGTAGGATTGGATCTGATTTCAGATTCCTTCTTTCCCTTTTGAACAACCCATTTTCAAGATTTGATCCAATCCGATCAGCTTACCTTTGAACAACTGGCCCCATAGTTTCAAGCCCGTTTTGCACAGCATCCATGGATTTGCCAACATCACCTTTGTCTGTTTTAACATCTCCTCGGATGTGCGATTTCAAGCAATAGTGAATCGGTTATTTATTAGTTTTGCATTATTCAAGGAAAGCTCTTGCGGTTTCGTTGGTTGTTGTGAGCATCTAATTCTTACAAGTTGTGTGTATTTCTAAAGAAAGATACGTATATTCGTTCTATATGACAGTTAATGTATGCATGTGTTAAAAAAATTGCAGTTTTTTTCTTCAAATGACTCATATAAGTTTATTATTGTTAACACCCATTAACCTTAAAAACTCCATGATTATTAATTGTTAATAAATGACACGTTTTTCCTCTACACTATGCCATAAACCAGTTACATGCGGCGATCATTTCGATTCGGTAGTCATATATTAATTGTAGCTACATAGCTACAAGTGAGCAGCTGCAGATGTTCGTGAGTTTAAAAGCCTCCCAGACGCACCTCATGACGTCTCTTAAAGGGATAGTTCACTTTGAAATATATTTTTTAGCTTACCTCAAGTGCAGGTGTGTTTGTTATTTTCGATTTTTATATTTTTAGGTCAAACCGTTAATGTCTGTCAGTCATATAATGGAGGTCAATGGTCACCACCTCAAAGAGCATGCACAGAGAAGTCCAAATTAAGCATGATTGAATGACTCGTGAATGTAAGTACACATTGATGGCCTAAGACACGAAACGAGCGGTTTGTGTGAGAAAACCAACAGTGTTTATATCGTTTTAACCTCTTGTAACCACAGCCACAAAGCGCCCGCGTCCTCAGATCTCTTGAACATGGCTGTGGTGACACAAGAGGTAAAAACGATATAAATACTGTTCGTTTTCTCACACAAACCGCTCGTTTCGTGTCTTAGGCCATCAATGTGTACTTACATTAATGAGTCATTCAATCATGTTTAATTTGGACTTCTCTGTGCATGCTCTTTGAGGTGGTGACCATAGACCTCCATTATATGACTGATAGACAACAACGGTTTGACCTAAACATGTGGAAACAAAGACACCTACATCTTGGATGCCCTTGAGGTAAGATAAAACATACCAAAAAATAATTTCCAAGTGAACTATCCCTTTAAAATAAGCAATAATCTTCTTACTAAAAATGTATTTGTGAAGAACTTCTGGAGTTAGAAGTCTCAGAAGAACATCCACTAGTTTGTTGTGCCATATTTATGGTCATTCATAATCAGAATAAAATAGTCATACATCAAAATTAAAAGACAATGTAATACTTCAATAATCATGAGTTAAAATAAAGATTACGCATGAACATTATTTTCAAATTTCGTCTGAGGTTTTGGATAACCTTTGAACCCTCAGCAGGAGAGATGAGTTGGAGAAACTCTACAAAATAAAGGTTGAAAAACTCAACCTATATTGTGAGGTTATTTATCTAACCTAAATATTGTGAGGTTATTTATTAACACTTAGCACGTTTAGCATGTTGCTTGTTCACCTCAGTAAATCAAACTACATTTATGAGTGGCTACATTTAAAGTTCATTATTAAGCAGACGCTAAAATGTTTAAAAATAATATTGTTTAAAGGGATCCTCATCATTCACTCGTCCTCATAAAGTCTCTGGTGTATGTGACTTTCTTTTTGTCAGATAAAGACGTTTAGGAAAATAATCCATCTCTGAAAGTGCATATTAAATCATCACATTGTTTCAGTTAAGCTAACTGTGATTTGTATATTTACATTTCTGAAATAAATAACTTACAGTTTCCTCTGATAACAGACTCTAAATTGTAAAGTGGACTCGTTCATTTTCTGTGACGCTGCTTTGAAATTATGTGTATTGTGAAAAGCGCTATACAAATATAGCCTACGTGAATTGAATGCGTGACGTTTTTTGGATGTTAACCCTATAAAGCCCACTGTGTCATATTTGATAAGAACATTTCTAAGGCCTCGAAATGAGGGGACTAGCCATCATTTCAAAAGTGAGGGGCACAGAATAGAGAGCCTAAGTCTCTGTGTAATGTTTGTCAATTTAAAGGATCATTTAAAATAATCTGTGATGTTTGTCAATTTAAAGGATAATTCTGAAAGTCAAAAACGTCGCAGTTTGTCATAAAACAGAAGAGTAACATTTAGTTTTATGTGAAAATCGCTCTGTATGAACTACATCTCCCGGGAAGCGAAACAACGAGTGAGATCCGCTGCTCGTGTGTGTGCAGTCTGGTACAAAACACTCTGGTATGACGGCGTAACGTTACGATTATAACGTAAGACTGAAGAAACAATGACAGACATTAGCCTCAGTAAAGTTAGCTTCATTCATTGAGAGAAAATGTGCACCTTCGGGGTTTGTAGTCTTTGTAATATACGTATTTTCACAGTCTTATACCTCAACGGTTTTACATCAAACTGCGACGTTCTTTACTTTAAAATGTATCTATTAATTTTACGAACATCATATGTGTAATTCAGGGCACAATTCAAACCAGATCAAAATATTTGTTGTCTCTCGCCATTGACTAACGTTACCATACAATATTTTTCCGAAATAAGGTCCCATGGTGGTCGACCGGAAGGGAAGGGACTTAGGCTCTCCATGTCAAGTATAATACCAGTTTGTTTGTTTTTTTTAGACTTTTGTTGACAGGTTTTTGCTTAATTTGCTTAATATGCTATTTATTTTTAAAGCAATAAAACAGAAAGAAAGAAAGTTGTCCACTACTTTAAATTTTTCCTGGCTTAAAAGAAGGCTGAGGTGGTAAAATACTGATCATGTATTTTAATAAGATAATAAAATGTGTATTTTTTCGTAGACCATCATATAGTCTACGATGTTAACCACAGTATTTTTGTAGGTGTATCTCGGTACCTCTAGGGGGGTCCGGACGGAGGCATGCTCCCCCGTACGAAAATTGTGTACATTTTAAAGATAAATTCATTAATCTGGTGCACTTTGAGTCCCCCGAATCCGCTGTTAAAAATAAATAATCCAACTGCCCAAATATATGATATTCTCTGATTTAGATATCTGATCATCCCCTTACAATTATTCAAATATCAGTGTTAAGCATGATGATATGGTTAAATATCACACTGAACCGGTTTTAAAAATAACATTTACTTAAAATAAAAGTTTTTTTTTTTTTTTTTGGCAAAATTACATTTTCTTACTAGCCGAAACAAAGTCTCTTACTAAACTAAAACTTTCCAATTGCAAACCTTCAAACTTTCTAGTTAGACTTAAAGTTTGTCTACAAACTTTTTTATCCAGGCCTAATTGTAAAATGTTACCAAATTATGATAAACATCATGTAGGCTTACACATGTTACAACACCGCCTGATTCAAGCAGATCGTGGCTGTTAATGCATGAAAATACTAATTTAGCATTCACATTCACCATGTTTATTCTCGTTTGAAGGGCTTTGATAACATATCTGTGAAAATAAAATGCATTGCGAGTAAAAAAATGATTGAAAATATTGCATGTTTGTTCGGGAGGTGAATTTACAACAAAACCGGTTAATTACTCAACAAATGAAAAGCGGAGTTATTCATCATTGTGCAACACAATTCGGATAGTACACGACAACTTACTTACAGTGCTTGACTTTTTCGTGGGAAAAGGAGTTTTCTGCCATTTTGAACTCTCTGAAACTGATGGATTCGGCACGGGTACGAGCATGGGCGTGTCGTAGTCTAATGCACGAGTTGACTCTTTGGATCCTAAATCTCGATGTACGCCCGCGAAAACCTCAGCTTGTCGTAAACACACTTTGCCTATTAAAAAGTGCGGGGGAAGAATTTACATTGTATAAATGCTCGAAATGAACACACTTTTGCTGGTAGACTCAATCTACTACATGCCTTCTGTTGTCTGATTGATAGTGAATGAATTATGAATTTATGGTGAAAAACAATAAAAGGACATTCTCATCTCTTTCAATTCATTTTTGGGTGGCATATCTCTTTAAAGCCCTACTTTGTGCTATACACTTCACTTGGACTGAACCGACTCACTGTAGAGTTGTAAAATGGTCGCATGTTTCAGTGCAAGTAAATGTAAAGCACAGCAGATCTGCTCTCTAGTGGTGGAGACGGGCCACTGCAGGGCGGCTGATGGGAAAAACATGTGGAATAAAGGCCTTGCTTAATCATCCTCA